GTCATGGGGAGAGGGTAGCCGTTGAGAGGAGAGGGTCGCTGTCGTGGGGAGAGGGTCGCCCTCGTGGGGAGAGGGTCGCCCTCGTGGGGAGAGGGTCATGGGGAGAGACTGGGGCCGTGTCCAACAAAGAGGGCAGTCAGGGAGGTGGGGCCGACCTGGGGTGGAGTTGGGGGATGGCATGGCCTACCTACCTAGGGAGCTGGGTACCTGTGGTCAGAGACAGTAGGGCCTAATGGGGAGCAGGGCATCTGCAGCTGGGGTAGGGCGGACAGGGGAGAGGGGATGCCCTTGGGGCTGAAGGAGAAGCCAGGCGAGGCAGGGGCCAAGGCTGTACCTGCGGCCGGGGGAGGGGGGCTCCGTCTTGAGGATGGGGAACAGGGGCTCACTCTCCACTCCCTGCTCCTGCTTCAGCTTGTACAGCTTCTGCCGCAGCACATCCTGGTGTCGCTCACGGAGCCTGAGACAGGGGCCGGGGGTCAGGCCTCCAGCCTGGCTGGCTCCCCATCTGAGGCTCTGCTAGGACCCAGCGAGGGAGCAAGGCCCCAAATCCCTGAGGCCCACAGATACTAAACCGGGCCCCTGCCTAGGGGAGGGAGGGTGTCCTGGGGGGTCAGCCCTGGAGTGGGGGGCATCCCAGGCAAGGGCGCCAGGCCCCAAGGGGCCCCTGCAGGCTGGGGGAGGCGCCGGCATCTGCACGTCCCGTGGGAGGGTGCGAGTGGAGCTGTGTTTACACGGAGGTGCCAACTATGAGGGAATGTACACAGTTCCCGCGGCAGAGGAGGTGACGGCGGGACTGGGCCATGTGGGGGTGGGACAAAGGAGAGTGACCGGCAGAGCAGGGCTCCTGGGGCCGGGGACCCGGGGGACATGACAGAATGAGCTCACATGGGGCAGCAGCCCCCATGGTTCAGCCTGTGTGACTTGGTGCTGAGCTCCCCTCACCAAGTGCACCCTGACTGGGCTGAGACGGGCCGTGTGGGGATGCCCGCAGGACCACTAGAGCGCTCTGGATACCACCTGTGGGCCTGACCTGATTGGAGGAATCTGTCCTGGAGCGGGCCTGGCACGTGACCAAGCTTACCTGTCCACGCCCTCACCCAGCTGCCTGCCAGCCCACCTCCACCCCCCCACCTGCCTGGCACATGTCTGCCTACCTTCTCACCTGCACACCTCCCGCCAGCCGGCCACTTACCTGCACACGCACTCCCACCAGCCCGCTTACCTGCTCACCTCCTGCCAGCTCACCTGCTCACTTCCCACCCAGCCTGCTCACTGTTCACCTGCTCACCTCCCGCCAGCCTGCTCACCTCCCATCAGCCTGCTAACCTGTTCACCAGCTCACCGCCCACCAGCATGCTCACACGGTCACCTGCTCACTCCAGCAGCCTGCTCCCCGCCCCTCACTTGGCGCGCGCCATGTGTGCCCACCCTCCCTCACCTGGTCCACGCCATGTGTGCCTGCCCCGCGCCCCTCACCTGGCCCGCACCATGTGTGCCCGCCCCTCACCTGGCCCGC